TTCCTGCCAAGGCCTTGAAAAGAAATCGGAAACTATTTTAAGTTTTTATCGCAGGACATTTGATATATTTTATATTTAAAAATGTTATCAAAACATTTCCATGTCAGTTAGTGTTGCAGCGGTATCCTGGTTTCACAGTAGACCATGGTATGAATACTGATGGTTATCATACCATGCACATTTGCTTATTACTGATATTGAAGGAAATAACGCAGTGCGTACACACCTTTCTTCCAGGACTGCCTGTCAGACTCCGCAAAAGGCAGTGCACACACAGGAGTTTGCTATCTGGAATTACTTCATGTAATCCCAGCAGACTGTTACATCCACAGCTTGCACATGCACATTCATTGCCGACTACTGCACATACAGCCTGGATGTAGCGTGTATTTTCTTTTATTATATTCTTATTATATTTCTTTCACTTGCTGTTTATCTACTTGACATTTTCACTTGTTTATGGAGAGGAGAATGACCTCATCCTCAACATAAACAAGACAAAAGAAATAAGAGTAGACTTCCCTCCCTGGAACCGACACCTTAACATGGTGGAGGGGTTTGAGTGCCTGAATAATCCCGGGCTATATGTCCCTGGCTATATGGGCCTGGTCGGGCTCAGCCCGAAACCACAATGTGGAGCCACTCTTCAGTGGGCCCACCACCTGCTGGAGAGACCGTAGGAGGCCGGTGCATTGTGTTTTGGGCAGTGGTCGGGGCCGAGTGCCCGGCCGATCCAAACCATGGATACCTGGTTCTTGGGACTTGGAATGTCACCTCACTGGTGGGAAAGGAGGTTGAGCTGCTGCAGGAGGTTGAGAGATAGAGGCTAGATATAGTCGGGCTCACTTCCACTCACAGCTTGGATTCTGGAACCACAATCACACTCCTCAGCCTCCCCGGGAAAGTCTATGCCAGGGTACTGGAGAGGAGAATCCGGCTGATAGTCGAACCTCGGATTCAGGAGGAACAATGCGGTTTTTGCCCAGCTCTATACCCTCACTAGGGTGTTGGAGGGTTCATGGGAGTTTGACCAGCCAGTCTACATGTGTTTTATGAATCTGGAGAAGGCATTCAACCATGTCCCTCGTGGCATCCTGTGGGAGGTACTTCGGGACTATGGGGTGCGGGGTTCGTTGTTACGGGCTGTCCGTTCCTTGTATGACCGGAGTAGGAGCTTGGTTCGTATTGCCGGCAGTAAGTCAGACCCGTTTCCAGTTATAGAGATAGTGAACAAATGTGGTAATAAAACATCTAGTGATAGTGATGGTATCACTATGACAATGGTTAAATGGGTAATTGAGGGGATATGCAAACCAATAACCCATGTTTTTAACATGTAGTTTCGACTTGGGCAGTTCCCCAATAATATGAAAATAGCAAAGGTTATTCCACTGTATAAATCTGGTGATAAGCACAACTTCACAAATTATAGACCGGTTTCTCTGTTGTCACAATTTTCAAAAATTCTGGAAAAACTCTTTAATAACAGATTAGATACATTTATTGACAAACATAAAATCCTCTCTGATTGCCAATACGGTTTTAGGTCGAACCGATCGACATCTTTGGCCATTACCCACCTGATGGAGGACATTACAAGTCCTATGGATGAGAAGAAATACACGATGGGGATATTTATTGACCTAAAAAAAGCATTTGACACAATCAATCATGAATTATTAATTGGGGCTCCAAAAATCGCTCTCCCTGTCTCAGCATGCCACAGACTTTCAGTTGACTCCCCTCTGGATCTGTAGACACCTGCAAGGATGAGGATCCCAAAGTAGGCACGCAAATATATGTGGTCCATCTCTTTCCACTGCTCCCAAAAAACACGTCTTCCCTCAAGGTTGGTCATGTCCAGAATTATTTTCTAGATTGAGTGAGGAATCAGCAGTTCAAATGATGACACTATATCATGAGCATGTGTCACAGCCACTCGTGTGGGTCCTGGTACCATCCTTATTTTGTTAGCAGCTAAACCAGGGGCTTCACCCATCAGAGATGAAAATCATTCAGTCTGGCCATTCTTGGATGTAGTTGGCTGTGGGGCTCCTCCAGCAGTGGGATCTGTAGTTTCTTCTGCTGTGTGCTCTGAGTCCTCATCATACTCAAATTCACTCACATTCAGAAGGTTCTTCAGTATTGTCATCATATTCTGAGACATCCTCTTCTTCTCCTCCACTATCTGTCTCACTCTGCTAAAAATAGCTCTAAGGCCTTCTGAGCAGTGTACCTTTTGCTCATGGTGATGGATGAATGAAGATGAAATGACACTGCAATCAAGAGCTATTTATATGTAAATATAATGTATAGTTTGCGTATTTTCAGGTCAACAGCTTTTTTTCTTTTGTCAGTTTTCTTTTAGTAAAAATCTAAAAACGAGTCAATTTGACCAGGACGCAACACAAGGGTTAAGTGTGCAGTATGTTAAAAGTTTGTCAAAATAAGCTGCTCTAACACTTTTTTGAAGTTATTGTGCTTCTCACACCCTGATGATCTGTCATTCAGACAGATTGGAATCAATAGGTGAAGAGGTCACTCCTTGCCCCTCAAATGAATTTCCTTTCCCACCTCATATACACAAGACTTCATAATTTTTATATTTGAACCACAATTTTCATTTGCAAACACTGAACTCAAATTTCAGTGGGAAACAGTGCAGTCATTAGCATATAATGAATGACTATCGCCATAGCTTTAAACATGTGGTGTCTCCTACCACAGCTGTTTTTAAGTTTTAAAAGAAAAGCTACAGCTATGCTGACATAAGCTTCTTTCAAAACAATGTGAATTAAGATTTCCAGGGACTTGTATCTAAGAAAGTACATTAGTTTAAAGAGGACAAAAGATGCTGAGGGACAAGGATTGAATAACAAGTATCTGTCTGACTGTGGATCATATTCATGCCTACTGTTTTTTTGTTTGTTTTTTGTGGAACACTGGACCAGCTCTATACCCTCACTAGGGTGTTGGAGGGTTCATGGGAGTTTGCCCAACCAGTCTACAAGTGTTTTTTGGATCTGGAGAAGGCATTCGACTGTGTCCCTTGTGACATCCGGTGTGGGGCTTGTTGTTACGGGCTGTCTGTTTACTGTATGACCGGAGTAGGAGCTTGGTTTGCATTACTAGCAGTAAGTCAGACCTGTTTCCAGTGCATGTTGGATTCTGCCAAGGCTGCCCTTTGTCACCGATTCTGTTCATTATTTTTATGGACAGAATTTCTAGGCACAGCCAGGTAACAGAGGTTGTCTGTTTTGGTGGCTGAAGAATCTCGTCTCTGCTCTTTGCGAATGATGTGGTTCTGTTGGCTTCATCAGTTCAAGACCGACAGCATGCACTGGAGGGTTTTTCAGCCGAGTGCGAAGCGGCGGGGATGAGAATGGGCACCTCCAAATCTGAGGCCATGGTTCTCAGTCAGAAAAAGGTGCATTGCTCTCTCCGGGTTGGGGGTGAGTTGCTCCCTCAAGTGGAGGAGTTTAAGTATCCCGGGGTCTTGTTCACGAGTGAGTAAAAAAAATGGAGTGGCAGGTTAAAGACGGATTGGTGTGGCGTCCGCAGTAATGTGGTCTCTGTACCGGTCTGTTGTGGTAAAGAAGGAGCTGAGCTGTAAGGTGAAGCTCAATTTACTGGTCGATCTATGTTCCTACCCTCACATATGGCCATGAACTTTGGATCATGACCGAAAGAATGAGATTGCGGATATAAGCGGCAGAAATGAGTTTCCTCTGGAGAGTGGCTGGGCACACCCTCAGGGTTCGGAGCTCAGAGTAGAGCTGCTGCTCCTCCATGTTGAGCGGAACCAGTTGAGGTGGCTCGGGCACCTGTTTAGGATGCCCCCTGGACGCCTCCCTGGGGAGGTACTCTGGGCATGTCCCTCCAGGAGAAGGCCTCAGGGCAGACCGAGGACAGACTATGGAGAGACTATGTCTCCTGGCTGGCCTGGGAACGCCTTGGGGTTCCTCCTGAGGAGCTAGAGGAGGTGTGTGGGGAGAGGGAAGTCTGGGAGGCTCTGCTCGAGCTACTGCCCTCGCAACCCGGTCTCAGATGAAGCGGCTGAAGATGGACGGATGGAGAAGTCTTCTGCTTTGTTGCGTCTTTTTAATGGAATCAAAAATCATACAAATAAACAGCCATACTATATAATCCCTTTGGCCCATGAGGTCAAGTCCTGTTGAGGAAAACCAAATTTTCTCTCACACTCTAATGTTGCAGATCAATGCCAAATAACATTTTCGAGAGGAAAAAAATATGTGTCATTTAGAAATCACAGCCTGAGCCAAAGTCCTTGTGCAAATCATTTATTGTTTTAAATACTGGCCTCAATTAAAAAACATTCTGGCTCTGGTACAGAAATTTAGCTCCAATTGCTAGAACATCACAGAAAAGGCTAGCAAATAAATAAAACATTGCTGCTGCTCTACAGAAGTTTTTTTTGTACACCTTTTTTGATTAGACACATGGAAAATTTATATTTCAGTTACATTCGGAATGCGTGCACTTGTAAATGCCTGGTAGCCAGCCTCACTACTTGCCCCCAGCTTCAAGTGCTTGTTTCCTTGGTTGGTTTCATTATGTCATGCTAGTCTACCATCCCTGACCGAGCAGGAGGAGAAATATCACACACATCTTATCTTATCTACAGCTAGAGCTGTATGTGTATATATATAGTTATATATACAGTAAGGTTGTTTCCTACATTCCACTCACCTTAAATTAAACTTTCACGTTGCTAAAGTTCGCCAACAGGCCAATCCAAACACACTGATAGTATATAAGTATAGACCTTTACATAATTTTCTTTATAGTTTATCTATATTTTATATATCCAGCTGGTTTTTGTTTGAATTGTGGTTTTAATGCATTGTCATCTATATATAACTGATATTTATTTTATGACTAAGTGTTCTTTCTGGCTTTGACTCCTTACCTGACTCCAAAGGAGAGCTGCACAAGAATTCCTATATGCCTAGACTGTCTGTTTATGCATAAATGGCAAATAAAACTCGACTTGACTTGTATTGCTGGCATTCATTGTGGACAGCAGAGTAAGAATTACATTGTACAGGGAAACACGTTTCCTTACTGTGCACATGACAATAAACACTTTGACTCTGACGTGACATGCAGCAGACATATGGCAGAGAAAAGGAGGCTGACAGCCCATCACGAAACTCCACCCAGCGAAAAAGACATTAAAAATAGCATCGCAGGATTATTTTGGATAAACCGATAAACCATCCCTCTCTGCAGATCAAAGTATGTGTCCCGTTGGTTACTTTAATCACAAGAGATGAAACAGGTGAGCAAATAAATGTCAGTCATAAAATGCAAATCAAAATAACTTTCCACATAGTCTGTTCCTTTGCTATTCTCTGATTTACAAAAGGCCTTGCACTGACACCGATCTGAGCCCAGAAACACACACAAACTGTCCCAGCTCACATAAGCATGTGTAATGGAGAAAACAATCAGTAGCTGCAGTTGGATACAAACTAGTTACAAAGTGCTCCACCTCAACCAGCCACAGCATCTAAGTCCTGCATGAGTGATACAGGGTACTTATGTAATAATATCATATATAACACTATAACAGTATAGGACAGATAGTAGAACATGTTTCTACAATGAGTTGCCTACGTCTGCTTTTAATATGTTAAGTACGTGATAATACTTTTAATTGGAATTTTCAGTGCAGGACTCGTACTTGTAACAGAGCAGGCTACTTTTACAGTGTGATAGTAGTACTTTTACTAGGATGTGAATACTTCCTTTACTACTTGTGCTAAGATCAGAATCACTGGTGCCAGGCCTGCCCTCCATGGAGGACCTGTACACATCATGGGCCAAAAGGAGGATGGAGAAGATTTCTGCAGACCCCTCCCATCCGGGACACAAGCTGTTTGAACTCCTCCCCTCTGGACGGCGCTACAGGTCACTTGTGCACCAAGACAACCAGGCACAGGGACAGTTTCTTCCCCCGGGCCATCACTCTGATGAACACTTAACCAACGACACTATGACTGGACGATAACCCTCAGTATATTTGCAATACCTGTAAATATACCTTGTACATATATATCCATTAAATGCATTATAAGTACTTTTTTGTTTTTACTAATGCACATTCCTTTTGCTTGTTTGTACATTACCTCTTTCCTTCTGTTCTCACAGCCTTATATTGTTTACTTGCCTATTGCTGCCTTACATAAGGACATATACATACATATTGAGAGCCACGGTACCAGAGTCAAATTCCTCATGTGTTCAACACACCTGGCCAATAAAGCTGATTCTGATCCTGAAGATGCATCTAAAATGCTCTAGTTAGATGTTTTTTTTTTTTTTTAAACAATCATGTTTATAATTGTGTTTAGTCTTTTGGGTTAGTCTAGCTCTGCAATCCAGCTCAAGAACTGGTACAGTCACTTGCAATTTAAAAAAACACATTTTCATATGAGGGTCCTTGTAGCTGATAACAATAGTTGTGTAAAACCACAATACTGTGATATTTTCTGAGACAGTTACCATACTATGAAAACCTCATACTGTTGCAACCCTAATGTCAGTTATTCTACAAGTTGTGGTTTATATTTACCTGACGCGTCTCCTCGGCCCTGGAGTAAGCTGTGACTGACCCAAGTGCAGTCAGTATCTCCTAGCTCCCCATGATGCTTTTCTTCTTTTTGCTAACACACACAAAGAGGCTCTCAGACTTAATCTATCCAATACATTCAGATGAATATCTGACAAGACAGCACAAATGTTTTTAGACTTTTCTACTTTTGATGCACTTTGCTGTTCACATAAGGTGTAAAAAGTCAGGACATGATCACAGAAAAATGACTTTAGCAAACAGGGGGCAGCCATCATAACTACAGCAGACTGCAACTGTAAAAAGCCCAAGTTTGATCAAAGTGAGCTTCACCTTATTCATATTGACTGAAGAGTTATTAATAATGCCACAGCTATATCAGTAATATACAAACTACATCAACAGGCAGTAACTTCACTAGCAAAACAAGGAGCAGCGTCCCAGTGACTGTGGTGTGTAGCAGGACATGTGACTGCACCTCATCTCCACTCTGCTCACTGTCGTATGTGGACAGGGTGAGCGCAGGGTCAACACTCCACATGGACGCCACTTTGTTCTTCTCTTCAGCTGGGAAAGCAAAGTTAGAGTAGTCGCATTAAATTCAACTGATAATTATGAACAAATGCTTAGTTGTAGAACATTAAGTTGACAGTCAGAAAAAATGGTCTGCCATGATGCCATCAGGCACATTCTCACCATCATCTGCTGCTTTTTGTGCCGACTCCGTCTGTAAAAAAACAAAACATTAAAACCATGCCGAAATATTATTCTCTACACTATATATATATGTATGTGTGTGTGTCTGTATGTGCCACGTGTTTCCCCAAACACACATTTCTGAGCTGTTTGACCACATCTCTAACCTTGCTGTCCAGTGACTGTTTCAAGCTTTGATCACCGGATATTTGTTCGATCTGTTGAGATGGTATGGGTTTCTGTGTGGTCGACCATTCCTGGAACTCTTGTTTGCTGTTCTTTTGCATTTCCGGTTCCTCCTTTTTCCATTTTACTTTGATAATGGAGCCATCTTCTGAAAGCCTCTTTGTCTGTGGGAGAAGAGACGGGGATTTTTCTGTGGTCGAGTCTGGACTCCGTATCAGCATGGATGAAAGGGAGGACCTGTGGGGCCTTAAGGCAAGGAAACCAATGTGGATTACTGAAATGATTTCTGCAAGTCATCAACGTATTCAGACCCCTTTACTTTTTGTACATTTTATTGCTTTGTGGATTCAGTTTTGAATGGATACAACTGCCATTTATACCCATACAATTAATCACCTATGAGGACAAAGTGAAACCATAATGCTCATCATGGGTTCTGCATTTGTGTCCACTATGGTGCACCCGCTTAGGATGTGTGATCTGGAAGCTACATTTCTGCACCCTTCAGGAAGTAGTATTAAACTCAAGTACCAGAAACACAAGGCAAGGAGGAGGTGCGTGTGCAGTGATGAGAGAGCAGCTGCTGTAGGGGTGCTCAAGCCAGTGCTGTGCGTGATCTAATGAGTAATCTAATGTGATAACACACACTCTAGAGTGGGTCATTTCTACATTTATTCTCAATAACCAGTGATATGCCGAGTTCTGACTGCTGAGAACTGCATGCCCCTTGCGTGAGCATTGGGGGAGCGCCCCTCCAGCAGCCTCTCTCTCTCATCAACACACATACCAGCTGTGATGAATTTGAGTACTCCATATCCCATAACGGCAGTGTCTCCACATTCCCCTTTTTCATGACACCAACCTTACACACAGTGACCATTACTGGGCTTAGGAGGTGCACTCCAGCTGGTCTTTGAGGTATCACTGATTTGACAAATAAACCCACAATATTTGTTTAACATTATGACAAGATATTATATTTTCTTGTTATAACAACAAACAAACATATACATTGTCCTTATAATGTGAAAATACAGTATCTCATAATGTGAAAACTATCACGTTTTAACATGTTTAGTATCTTGTTACAACGAGAAACCTTTCTCGTTATAATGGGATGGTGGCCGCTATAGGCTGCTGTAGTATAGCACTGATGTACATGGACTGCTCTGCAAATGAATAAAGTTATGGCTACTTCATAAACTCTTACGTTGAATGTTTGCCCCCTCAGTTCAGAGGAAAACCAAAAAACACATGGTCAGCCTTGACCTGTGCAATAAGAGATCCACTTGATTTGTTTCAAATATTTACTGGCTTCAACCAAAAGAGGGTCAGGAAGAGACAGCTGAACAGATGTAGGACAGAAGGAGCTACCGCCACAAGAACAGTATATTCTAATTCTCTGGGAACCACTGGATTATGCTGTAAAACAGTCTTTCAGATGGTGGCACCAGTGCTACCAATATCAAATGTTAGTCTGGATCCCTGCAAAAAATGTTTTTTACCCCGACTGGTGCCCCCGAAGAAAAATATCTGCTCACAATATTGTGCAACAGTCAGCAAAAGAACAGCCCTTACTTTAATAAGATGTCGTTCCTCCAGATAGATTTTGAGCTGCTTTGCTGGCCTGAAGTTGTTTTGGCTGTCTTAGGATAGACATAATGAGTTTAAATACTTAATAATTGATTTTGAATAAAAAATAAAAGGCAGTATTACACATTTATTATATTAGCGATTACACTACCTGTATGATCCTTACCTACCTGATGCTTGTCAAGATGTTCAAGGCCACAGGTTTCTGCAATCACTTCTACCAGATCGTGATTCACATCCTCTGAAACATAAGAGATGTGGTTAATGCCGTAGTACTATCAGCCTATACAGACTGGTGACAAATGAAGGTGGTAAAAATGAGTGGTCTCAACCAAACCGAAAATCTATGGGAGTTCTTGGACCAACATTTTAGACAGTGCTCTCCACCACCATCATCAAAACACCAAATGAGCTAAATCATTTAGAAGAATGCTGTACATCCCTTGACTAGAGTCCAGTGACTTCTAGAATCAATGCTAACATGCACTGAATCTGTTCGGTGGCACGTGGTTGGCTGCCACCTGTCTGTACAAATCCTTTCATGATATCAGTCCCATCAGTTTCCCTGGATGGATTCTGTTTAAGAGGTGGTTTATATGTGACTTATGAATTGGCCTTCAACAGAATTTAATCTGAGCTGAGGGGATACATTCACAGGAGCAGATGTTTCTGCGCCACTGTTTAAACTAAGCAGATACGATGGGTATGTTCATAGACCAGTGCTGCCTGGTGCAGCTGAGGGAGTCGTCTAAATGTATCAGGGTATTTGCAGGTCCTTGTAAGATTTAAGACACTTTTCAAAGCAAGTTAGAACGAAACTCAAGAACAACTTCCAAAAAGAAACTAGAGAAATGCATTTCCTGTCATAAATGTGTGTGGATGCTGATAAGCTAAGAGATTGTCCTAAAAAAGCCTGTTATCAATTGCTGAAACAGTTGAAAAATGATATTAAATGGCTGAAGTTCTTTGTTGAAATAGTTGAGAAGAAATGGCTGAAGTTCTCTGTTGAATAATCTGAAGGATGAAATGCAATAAAGTAGGAATGGCCTTGAAGAGCTGAACATTTTGATACCTGAAAGGCTTTTCTAGCTGAAGGTATGCTGAACATTTTGACACCTGAAAGGCATATCTACCTGAAAATATGCTGAAGTACAATTTTCCCATCAATTTGAATGGGGGGGAAATTTTCAAACTAAAGCCAATTATTGGATTGGCGACCTGTCCAGGGTGTACCCCGCCTTCGCCCGATTGCCAGCCGGGATTGGCCCATGTATTTAAATGGTGCAAAAGTTTCAAGATAAAGATAAATATTTCTAAAGTATGAAGTTTAGAAAACTTCTGAATAAAAACATGAATGTTCTTGAAGAGCTGAAAATTTTCATACCTGAAATAGCTGAAATTATGCTGAAGTATATTTTTCCCATTCATTTGAATGGGGCAAAATTTTACAAATAAAGCTAAATATTTGAAAAGTATGAAGTTTACAAAGGTTCTGAATAGAAGCATGAATGTCCTTTAAGAGCTGAACATTAATAGCTGAAAGTATGAAGAAGTAAAAATTTCCCCATTCATTTGAATAGGGCAAGATTTCCAGAATAAAGCTACGTATTTCAAAAATATGAAGTTTAGAAAAAATCTGAAGAGAAGCATGAATATCCTTGAAGAGCTGAACATTTTGTGGGGGGGGGGGGG